ATATATAATATATATATATTATATATTCATCCTGTCTGCGTGTGCTATCGACAATTGCCACTGTCTTTCATCGGATGACGGAAACTATTACTCGGCCGTTAAAGATGTAATGATGTAGTTGAATGTTAGAAACTTGGGTTGGGAACGTGCTACGAACCGCCGCGTTATTTAAGCCACTTGTGCCACTGCCGTGCGCCAGCAGCGTTGAAATACACGGTCTTCCCAAATGGGCACAACAACACGAGCAACAAAACTGATCAACCGCGTCGTTGAGTGTTTACAAATTCTAAGATGTCGTCATTTTACATTATCTGTCTATGCGTGCTTTTCGTTAACGCCCGTATGAAGAATATGTATATGCTATATGGGTACTATGTATATGCTATTGTATATGTATATGTATATCGTATATGTATATTATATGTATATGTATATGTATATGATTATGCTATATGTATGTATATTTAGGTATGTATATATATATATTATTAGACAGATATACATATATAAAATATATTATATTAATATAAATTATAGTATATCGTAGGATTGTCAAAATTTTAAGACTTTATCCGTTGTTGCTATGAGCGACCGCGTCCCTGGAAATGTAATCACATAATGCACTGCTTCACCGACTCTCTGTCTCTCTCTCTCTCTCTCTTCTCTCTCTCTCTCTCTCTCTCTCTCTCCTCTCTCTCCTCTCTCTCTCTCTCTCTCTCTCCTCTCTCTCTCTCTCTCTCTCTCTCCGCTGAGTGTTTTCACGAAATATGGAAATGCGCATTCCCGTCATTATCGCAGGCGGTAAATATCATGAGTTTGTCGATGTTTATTGCAGCAACACGCAGTAGCAGCAGCGGTAGTAGTAGTAGTAGCAGTAGCGACCAGTAGCAGTAGCAGCCCAACAGCAGCAGCAGCAGCAGTTGCAGTAGCAGTAGCAGTAACAGCAGCAGTAGGCAGCAGCAGCAGCAGCAAGACAGTCTAGGCAGCTAGCAGTACCCAGCAGAGCAGCAGCAGCGGTACAGTAGTAGCAGCACAGCAGCCTGCAGTAGTAGTTAGCAGCAGAGCAGTAGCAGTAGTAGTAAGTAGTAGCAGCGAGCAGTAGCAGTTGCAAGTAGCAGAGCAGTAGCCATAGCAGTAGCAGCCGCAGTAGCAGGTAAGCATAGCCGATAGCAGTAGCAAGTAGCCAGTAAGCCAGTAGCAGTAGCAGTAGGCAGTTAGCAGCCATGCAGTTACAGTAGCAGAGTAGTAGCTAGCAGTAGCCAGCAGCAGCAGCAAAAGCAGTAGCAGTAACAGCAGTAGCAACAGGTTTCACACCTCTACCTAATGTCCTCGCCGCCGGTTTTTCATGAAATCGGGTGAACCGATCCGTATACCCGCTTGCTAGGAAATGCTGTGACCGAAGCTTAGTTAGTGAACACTTCTTGCGGTAGCAGCGAAAAAAACTATTTTCTTATATATCATATATAGATATATGTATATTTACATGTAAAGTATTACTTTCGCGTTACATTTGATGTAGCTTTGTGTACACGTTTGTGCGGTGTGATGTACGATAAAGGGATTTCGCAGATTCCCACTGTGCAGTACTACGGACAGCACATCTACAAGACATGATAACCTCAGTTAAGACTCGCAACAATTTATACTGTTGACAGAGTAGTAGTGTATATCCTAGCCTTTATCCATCCCATGATTACGTCATAGGCACGGGTTGCCGACGTTGGGCTGCGTTGACAACAATTGAAAAATAGACACCTACTCAATACTGTAAAGGAAAACTCGACGAGGGAAACTTACAACCGATTATGCAAACAACTAGTTCATAATCGATTTGGAAAATAGTACGATTTATTAGTCGCGCTGGAAACGGTCATATGATCTAAATGTTTCCCACGTGTTGGTGAGAATGCATAAGCTAAACACATGCGATCATGTGGCCTAAGTATTCTAGATCACATAATAGTTAAATGGGATGCGCGTGACCAATTCTACCGCCCACACACACACACACACACACACACACCCACACACACACACAACACACACACACACACACACAGCACACACACACACACACACACACAACCACACACACATATATATATATATATATATATATATATATATCGTCTACTCTATAATAAATTCTCTTGACTTTACTATGGATGCGATTGTTAGTTATCCAAGTGTATACGTCATTCTAGGAAAGGTCATAGCACGCAGCACAATTTTGGTCATTCCGTTTTGTGTTCTATCGCTCTTTCCTCAGCACTCGCGCGCACACTTGCCCGCACGCACACACACACACACGCGCGCGCGCGCACACACACACACACATGCACGCACGCACACACACCCAATGCTTCTGTTTCCTGTTATACTCCCTTTCTCAGTCATTCTTACATACTCTCCCCCCCCCTCTCTCTCTCTCTCTCTCTGTTTGTGTGTGCGTGTGTGTGTACGTGCGTGGGTGCGTGTGTGCGCGCCTGCGCGCGTGCAAGCGTATATATATATATATATTCGTGTGCATCTGTGTGTATATGTGTGTAAAGCTGGTGAAGGTGCTTAAACTGGCGTATGGTGTATAGTAGAATACATTTACGCACTTATGCTGTTATGCGGCGGTTCGTACCAGGCGTTCACCGTCGCTGGGCCCATGAAGTGGTACCATCTACCGGTCACAACATGAAACAAGAAAAAAATACAATACGAGTTAGCGAGAGTGAAAATCTTGTTGCTCTCTCTTTCTTTGTGTTTTTGTGAACAGGCACGTCACCAGGCGGTGGCCCGGTAGCTCGGGCTTCAACATCATTACTGAAACACACACACCCGCACTTTTGGTGTGGATTTTTACCGTGTTTCAAATGTTAAAATTTCATTTTAAAACTCGCCAGCGTACACCATTTTCCATGTAGCATTTTTTTTTATTTGGGGAGGCCCCCACACCCTCACCAGGGGGAGGGGGAAGCCCTGTCACAACTCTACCCCTTTACGGCGTTTCGCGCCTTCGTGACTGGGCTTCAATATTAGTCAATCTCTGGCGACGGCCCTGATGCACGTGCGCGCGCGTGTGTGTACGAGTGCGTGCCTGCTTGTGTGAGCGTGTGTGCACCTATGTATGTGTCTGTGTTTGTTTGAGCGAAGGTGTAAATAAATAAATACATATACATACATATATATATATAGGTAGGTAGATAGATAGATAGATCTATAGATAGAACCCCCTCCTCTGTCTCTCCGCTTTTCTCTCTACCGTTATATCACAGAAGCGTGTGTATAAGCTCTGCTCGTATGAAATGGACTTACTTAGACTCATCCACGGGCTTGCGAAGCTGCGTCATGTATAGCAGAGAAGACCACTGACTATACTTGATGATGTTGTCGAAGTGGTCTCCAGACACACTCAACTGTAGAGCGATTACGAAATATTATCACATAATTATCATATAATTATTCATAAAATTCCTTTTATGCAATTAAGCGGTTATGGCAAAACACGATAATGCGAATTTTTTTTACACGTGAATCAGTGTACTTCTCGGACTGCCCGAGAAAAACGGTTCGCATACGTCTTTTCGAAACGTTGTTACGTTACATAGTAATAAATATACGGAAAATAGAAAAAGGTGTCAATACAATATAAAAAATGACACCTCATTCTATTTTTATATATGTATATTTTTCTATATCTGCGGGAGCACCGTGCATTTTTACTTGTTCACTAATTCGTTCTATGTATATATATATATATATATGCATATACATATACATGTACATAACATACCCCTTCATACTCTGCGTCCAAGGTGACAGGGTCGGTTATGTAATCAGGATAACCAATGTGCTCAACGATAGCGTCAACCTAAAAGATGCACGCAGGTGAGGAACCAGAGATGAATATCCATGAAATACTACCTCTGTAGGATATATGAATATCAAGTGCATGGAGCAGCAAACTATGTAACAGCTGCGAGCTGAAATGGAATTGCATCGGTGTAGTATTACCATGCCTTTGGATATACGGAAGGTATTATATGATAGCATGCTAAGCGGTAGATAGTCTGTATTCTGTCATGTGGTGGATGTTTGAGGCTTTTTCTACTGCGATCCGCAGTGTTGATCTGTCTATTTGATCAAGTTTGTCTTATTCCGTCTTCGATATAGTCCCTCGGACTTTGGAGACTAATATTGACAAAGTTACGAGGTTATGAGAATGTGTTTTTCGGAGCGCGTAGTTCATCCGGTGGCGTTCTCCACTGACCTTCTCCTGTGATACTTTCTTTGTCGGGTCAGTCATCCAGTCTAGTTCTTCAACGATCTCCTTGAATGCTGATCGTATGTAGGATATCATCTTTTCTGCCTGCATCGATGAAGAGCGAGCGCTATGCTAACCAGATCTATTACATAGATTAATCGCCATATTGCTTCGCCACTAGTTCATGATGCTGTATAGCATTGCCTCGCCAACTACTATCCACTGACCACCAACTGAACATCAATGATCCACTCATTGACCACACGCCGTCCACCAACTGCCCAACAACGAACCACTCGTTCGACAAAGTTAATAGCTAATTTTATATTTCAAGAACATTGAGTTATAAGCCCAATCTACATTGGGGGTAGTAGCAGTAGATTTGCGTCCTGTAGAGACGGTGCAGGCCTCCGCAACACATGCCAACTGGGTGACCACACGCCGACCACTGGCTGCTCATCAACGAACCTCTGATTGACCCACCACTGGTCACCCATCATCACACATCACCGCCCAGAGCACCAGCTAACCATTCATCCGACCATTCCTAGATCGTGAGGCCCACTATCGCCGCATTACGAACGACTTATGTCCCGTACACACTGCAAAATTTGATCCTACATTAATTGATCCTGATTATTTCAGCAGTGGCGGACGCCGCACGAACCTCTGCCTTGTAGGCTTCGGGAAACACGGCCTTGATGTAGATGTAGCCGACGGCCATGCCCAGCTTGCTCTGCACGACAGTGACACAGTCACGCCATCTTGCTTTCGGAGACTGCACGCCGCTGACAACCTGAGAAAAGAAAGACGCGCGTAGTGAAGCAGGCAGGCGATTATGATTGGCCATCGTACTCAAAAATAAGTAATTTTTACAGCGGTTAAAATACGTGTTACTAGAGCACTCGGAGAGCACAGACCTCCGCTAAGGCAGCTGAATTCTCTCAATGTGAAATTTGTTATTAATTAATTAATTAATTAAATGGAAAAATTAATTAATTAATT